CTAACTGCAGATGGACACTCAAAATATTATAAAAGCTTCATATGATTTCAAATCCCAAATAGAACACCGAGAAATTGATAAAGAAGACATTATGGTAAGGCATGATATTTATCAACTCATTATATACTAGTATCCATCCCTATTACCGAAAGTCTTGATATCATTTCCAGTCTACTAGAATCAGATACAACGCTGCTATCACGATGATGTCCACTGGACACCAGTGAAATAATTAAGAGCTTGAAATTTTGTGTAGAAAGTAATTATTTTACATTTAAAGGGTGTATATATAGATAGACAAATAGTGTTGCTATGGGTTCACCAGTTTCCCCGTTAGTCGCTGACCTTTGCATAAATATATTCGAAAATAACATATTTTCAAGCATACTCACTCCTAAAATATGATTAAGATATGTAGATGATACTTTTGTAGTGCTAAAACGAGATTTACACAGTGCATTCCTGGATAAACTGTCTGTCTCCCAGAATCCAGTTTACTTTGGAAGCAGAATCTGACATTAGTGAACTACCATCTCTAGACTGCCTCGCTAGTTAAGAGGATGGGAAACGAACATTTTATCTATATTCAGGAAGAAAATCCACTACAATAAATATTTAGACTTCAGATCATCACAATCCATGTGTTTTCAAGGCAAGAACATTGGTTCAAATAAATTTAAAAAAAGGTAGATTTGGGATAAGAACGAACTTAAATCATTAATTCCTACATTGAATTGAATTTTAAATTTTCCCGTCGATTGGACCGAAGTGATCGGTCTCAGCTTGACATATCTGTCGGTTTCTTGTGCAGATGCCCTGATGATTTCTGGACATGTAATTAGAATTTAATTGGTGGATGGTGAGTGACATCATCACTGGCTCACTGTGGAATGCAGGTGCATCTAGCCAACTGAAGAGTCTCAAGTAGGACGAAATGCGCGTTATCCTGGACTGGATCCCACTACTAGTCACCATCCACCAATTGAATGCATGACTATAACCGGATTCTTGTAGTTGTATTCTCAAAATACTGACTTATGAAACAATACAATATCTGTGTGCTCCTTGATGGTTCACTAGTAGAATTCTTGAGACAGTTATGCCAGAGGTTTGAGTTCACTTGTCACCTGATTCAAATCTTCTAAGCCTCACCAGCTTCAGTAACCGGTCGTAAGCCTAGGAAAAGGGGAGATTGTGTGTGTGTGTGTGTTGTGCTAGTAATGGCATCCCGTGAAAGCAATGACACTGTAGCTACTGAAAGGCGAATGCTCGAAGTACTACTTCCAACTGTGAATGAAGAAAGTATTTACAGAAAACCAAATCTTAGGGGTGTAATCAACACCTATGAACCACTTGACGACTAATATAATTGGTGAAACCAGATAACTTAAGACATAAACGAGTTGCTTTAGATAAATAAATATGAGTGCAGAAATATTTGCACAAATAAATAAACTCTCAGGATTTCATCATGAGCTGACATTAGTTAGAGAACCATTGAAAAACCCTTCGTTTACAAGGCCTTGTAACCGAAAGGTCCTGGGTTCGAATCCCGGTGGGTGCGCACTGCTGAAGAGTCCCAAACTAGGACGAAACAGCTATCCAGTACTCCCAGGTTTTCCAATGGTTCTCTAACTGATGTCAGCCCATGATGAAATCCTGAAACCAATCAAATCCCTACAAACCAACACTTAAATAAACTCTCTTTTAATCAGGTGAATACCAATACTTGAAAATTAATGGGAAGCTCACTAGCTACTGGCCCTATTCAGGTAGGCAGTGACCTGAAATTCTAGTGGGAATTCGTGACCAGTGGGAGGGTACGGCAAGTTGAAGATGAGGCAGTAACTCACTCATCGAAGAAGACATGGTGATATGGTCGAACTATGTCGTGCTTGAAGTGGGCACAAGTTACAATTAAAGCATAATTGGATCGGGTCCCAGTGGCCGCTCAATGGTCTACGAGCCAGCTCGCTCACTCTGTGGCCTTGTAACCAGAACGTGGTCCTGGGTTCGAACCATGTCAATGGGTGGGGTGGGTGCATACTGCTGAATAGCCGGTTCCAAGCTAGTCGGACGAGGGAAACAGCTAGGTGTCTGTCAGTACTCCCTGGTTGGTTTTCCAGTGGTTCTCTAACCGACTGATGTCAGCTCGCGGTGAAACCCTCTATATAATCAGATGAAGCTAACTGTAGCTAAATGTGCCAGTAACAAGGAAAGATTCACTTCACTTTTAATTTACAACTAACAATGTATCTGATTTTCTGAATTTGATACATTTCAACTTCGCATCAAGGTGTTTGAAGTATTTATGTGTAACTAAAAGGGAGTCTTAAATCTATGAAATGTTTTAACTCTTATCATACCGGTAAGCCATGCTAAATTGAATTACATAGTCTCCTACGGCTTGCTACTTAATTACATAACAAGAAAATAATCGCCTACTTTCACACAATGATTTCCATTTTTTAAAAATTTGCACAAAGAAGGCAGAAACATTGGCGCAGAATAATCTGGATCCATTTTAATCCATCGGTTCTGACTAAGTGATCTTCTGACTTCTGCTCACTGTATTGCATCATCAATTTATCTTTCATCTGACCTCATGTGCACCGAAATTTTGATCTTTTCTCTCTTATCTAATTAAGTAACCACTACTAATTTTTTTTGTTACCACCCCAACAACACAACTGTTAATTAGTTAGTTTCTTTTTTGAAGAAACTTCTCTCTAACAAGATATATATATATATATGTTGTAACACTTTAGACACCTTGTAAGTCGCAACGCCTTATTTCATTGTGACGCTGTGACAATATACTTGCTAATGGGCAGAAGTTTGTTAAAACTGAACACTTTTTGTTTCTATTTTATTAAAGAATTTTATTTTATTTTATTTACTTTCTATGGATTACAGCTTGATTCCACACTGTATTTTTGGTACAAGTATGGAATTTTCTGCATGGATATCGGTAGCCCAAATTTTACAGGCTGACCATAGATATCAGGTGTGTGTCGGCGGGGGATCGAACCTCGGACCATGTGCATGGTAGGCGAGAGTACTAACCACTGTGCCACCGACACAGGTTGTACGCAGCTGATGCTGCGAACTTATTTGAAATAGAATGGATCCAGATTATTCTGAGCCAATGTTTCTTCATTCTTTGTTTAGACAAACAGTGGTTTTCCAAGTATAAAATATCAACCAAATTTAATCATTTTCCCGGTATAGGGCTAAGCAATTTTATTTTAATTCAATCGATACCTACAATATCTCCGTTCTGAAGGCTACGTGACCGGCTAGAAAGGATGAACAGTAAGCAAGCAAAAAAAAACTCTGGTATAGCGGTGAACCAGGGGCAAACATATTGTCCAACCAAGAAATATCGCAGAAAGAAGTCGAGATGAACTGTACATATGCTAAGGAAGCCTTCAAGCGATACCATACGCTGCCGACAGGGAACCCGAATTGGAATAGAAAAGTTGCGTGTGCGTCTGAGCGGTGGGTGGTATGGAAAAGATCATGTGAAGAGGGAGGGAGGTGAAAGCTTGTAGGAAGGAGTCCTATAGCAAACTGAAGGTGATTTCGTAGAAGCGAGTAGAATGGTGATGCTCTACTATGGCTTTATTTACCACTCTGCAGGCAAGCAATAAAGGTTTCTATCTCTAATAACAGAGCTCATACTCTGAGCAGCTGACCTTCGGTCCAAATTAATCGCAGAAACAACAGTCAAATTATTCAGATTCAGGTAATCTAAATGAATTAGACCACTGTAAAATGAATGATCACTTATTTGTCCTTAATTTGTGGATGGTGACTAGCAATTGGATCCAGTCCAGGATAACGCGCATTTCATCCTATTTGGGACTCGTCCACCAGATAGATGGATGTACCTGCATTCCACAGTGAGTCAGTGATCATGTTCCCACCACCAAGGCTCAAGTACAGTGGCCATAGTTTCAGACACCAGTCAAGCGTTATTCACTAGACCACTTTGGCGACGAGAGCCACCCGACTTCTTGTTCAACGGGTTATATTAATTATTTAATTGAATTTTAGATTTTCCTGTCGATTACATGCACAGACATCGTCGAATCATCTGCACAAGAAGCCAATAGACATTTCAACCTGAAACCGAGAACTTCTGTCCAATCAATCAATCGACGGGAAAATCTAAAATTCAATTTAAGTTAATTGCAAAATCCATTAACCACTGGAAATGACATTAAAAGTCCTATAGATGAAAAACAAAAGCCTACCGACTGCCTCCAACACTATCTAATATTATCAAATCAATGTGTGCACCGTGATGGTGAGCTAGCCACCTAGTGGCATGGTGGCCACATTGCAAACCTGACTGACTGACTGACTGATGGAATCCAGTCTGCACCAAATAGAGGACTAGACACATCACACTAGTTACCAACTAGTGTCCAATCAAAATACCCACTATAGCGCAATCCTACAGGAGGTCAATCGCGAGCCAGCTTGAATGGCTGGCTCAGTGGTAACGTCTCTGACTGCAGTACTCACTGCGGGGGTGAGGGGATGATGTGGGTTCGAATCTCAGAAGGGTGGGACATGAGCTGTTCCTTCAATGTGGTTGCAGATACGCCTTGCTGGCTAAATAACTAACTAACTAACTAACTAACTAACTGACTGACTGACTGACTGACTGACTGACTGACTGACTGACTGACTGACTGACTGACTGACTGACTGACTGACTGACTGACTGACTGACTGACTGACTGACTGACTGACTGACTGACTGACTGACTGACTGACTGACTGACTGACTGACTGGTGACTGCTAACTAGCAGCACGAAATCTAGGTCTAGGCAAGACTTCCTTCTTCTGCTGCTGATCGCCTTCAACACTATCTAATATCATCAAATCAATATGCACTAATTTAAAAATTAACTTTTAATATTATTTATCATTAGCGTAAGTCTGATATCGTATAAAACAGGCTTAATAATAATAATTTCCTACATACCCATAGACATGATGATACTCTTCGTTGATGCGGTGGTTTCATCCGTTTGTTCCATATGACTACTACTTCCAGCATAACTACTATTCATTGTATCATTCACTTGTTGATTTTGATATTGTCTGAATATCTGTTGTTGAGATATTCCTGCGTCGTCATCTTCTCTGTCTTTGTCGTCTTCCTCCGCCTCCCCCATTGGATACAATGACTTCATCTCATTTAAATTATAACTGGTTGATTGATGGTATTCATCTGATATTTTACGTTTTTTTATATTATAATTAGTAGTGAAGTCGGTAACAGGATTCCCATTTGTCTGCTGCTGCTGCTCTTGTTGCTGATGATTATAGTAGTGTGAATTCATATTGGCAATTGAATATTCATTTGTGTTAGAATGAAGTCGTTGATGTTGCTGACGCTGTCGCTGTTGGTGTTGGTGGGGGTGGGGGTGCTGGTGTTGGTGTTGGTGTTGTTGTTTAAATTGTTCTAAATTGTTCAAACTATTCCATAGAACTGTATTCATCATTAGATAAGATTGTAACGATTCAGCTGTACTCAAATCTATTGATGATTGATCATCATATGTGTTTTTTAATACATCTTTGTTAAAATTATTTGAAATAATATTTCTCATTGGATATATTGTAATATCTGAATGATTATTATTATTATTAATATTACTATTATTAAATATTTCATGAGTACTGTTCATTTGATGATGATTATTGCAGTTTATCTTGTTTGAATCAATGAAATACTGAAAATAGTTGATGAATATTTCAAGTCTTTTACTTCTTGCAGATATATATGTATATAAAAAAGAGTACCAAGTAGGTGATAAAACGACGAATAGTTAGTTGGTTAGTTCATCAGCAGGTAGACAATTTAGTGAGAAGAGATTTTTTTGGGAATATGCGGGAGTGGGGTGAGGTGACGTGTTTAAGTTGTTACGTTTTCTCTCTTTCTTTTGCTTTCTCTTTTTCTCATTGGACAGAAACCTTTTCGGCCAATCAAATCGAAGTAAAGGGGTTGAAGTTGCGATATGCTGTGTTATACCCGAATCTTTCTTTGACATGGGTTGTATATATATAATATGCATTTTTAGATGTCTCCCTGTTGTAACAAACAACATGTTGTTAATCCTTTATAGATTCAGATGTCACTGAATTGTATTGGTTTAAATTAAGTCAAAAAATAAATAAATTCAATTTTACAAAAACAAATGAATAAGGCATTAAGAAGACAAATTTCGCGAGATGATATCATTTCGTAGTTTCTTTACATCCGCTTTACAACTAACATAGTTAACAATGATAAAATAAAGTTCATGAAAATTACTCAGTTAAATAAAAACAAAAGGACATACTAATGACCAATCATATTTAGATAGGTCATGTAGTCCAGGGTAGGCGAAGATTGAAGTCTATTGATTTTTGTAAACATAGTTTAGGCTTTATGTGATTAATCCAAAGTGCTTCCATCACCTTCAATAACCAACCTTGAATTTGAGCTATGTGAAATAATTGTGAAACAGTCATTAATATTGATTTTGTGACCAGACATTAATAAGTGTTTTGCAATGGATGATGCTGGATTTCTATTAAGGTTAATTGCGTTAGGATTTTAGATATGATTTAGTAGCCATTTTGGAACATGTTCTTTTCGACGACATTGGAACATTTTGTTAGTTCTACCTACATAGGTGTCACCGCAACTGCAGGTTAACTTGTAGATACAGTTTGAAGTAGAGTCCACAGAATTTCGTCCTTTAATCGTAGGAACAGGGATCGAAAATGTTCGGCAAGTGAGAAAAAGAGATGTGGTGGCGTAGAATGTGCGTTTGATAGCTGACCGAAGTCTTTGATCTGTCAACTGTATAATCTGGTCACCCTTGAATGGTAGATTAATTAAGATAGCCTTCTTTGGTACAGAAGCTGTCTTTTCAAGATGTGGTCTTTCCTTACCGTGACAATTGATGAAGTTTTCTGTGTTAAGTAGAATATAGGAAATCAAATCAAGTGATTCAGCGAAGAGACTTTTTTCAACGAATTTATCACCAAGCTGTACAATCGTATATATATGGCTTTCAGGAGGTTATATCCGGTGAGGGAATCGAATCATAGGTGTGAATACATAAAATAATAACATTATGAAATGCATTATAATAAAGGTTTTTGTATTTTCCAATGAATGAAAAACAAAACAATATTGTTGCTCTTACTGACGTTTCGCTATTTAATGCTGCTGCTAATAGCTTTATCAAAGTAATAGGTCAAGTTAAAAGGACGTATTGAAAGTCAAAATAGGAATGAAGATCACTAAACCAAATAACAAAGGTAAAAGTACGTCTGTTATGATATCAAAATAAAGTTCACTAACTTGATCATCGTTCGTCTGTCTGGAGTCGTTTTTTGTTGTCAAGTTGGCCACTTGCTAAAGATAACAAAACCAGGTGTAGATTGTTGAATTTGATCAGTGTGTAAAATTATAAAAGTAGTGTGTGTGTACATAGTGAACTTGCTTATCACATTCGTGTTAATTTTGTCACTTCATGGGGAGAGGGGTGTTATAACCAGGTCAAATTCTGTTTTAGTCCATCATTCCTGTTCATCAGACAGTTTTGATTCCATTTGATGATATGAAGTGCTTCTCATATTAGACGTTCTTTGTAATTTCTGAAGTTTTTCTGGATTATTTCAATATTGTCAAAATCAATTTTGTGGCCTGACTCTATAGCGTGTCGTCCTATAAAGGTCTGATGATTTCTCAAGCTTTTCTAGTTTAACTGGATTTCTCGGTGGTCGAATAGACGCTCTACGGTGTTCATTTCTTCTGATTTTGATTTCTCCAGATGTTTGTCCCATGTATGTCTCATCACATTCCAAGCATTTTATTTTATAGACACAATTAGATAGAAAATCTTTAGGGATTTGGTCTTTTATATGGACAAGGTTGCTTTGAAGTGTGTCTAATGTTTTGCAGAAAACTCTGAGGTTAAGCTTATTGGGTACTCTTCTGATATCGTCTGACGTCTCTGCTCTATATGGAATGACGACTGACGATGTCCATGTTTTCGGAATGCGTTTTCGACCATACTTAATGTCTGTGTCCCCCATGAAGTGACAAAATTAACACGAATGTGATAAGCAAGTTCACTATGTAAACACACGCTGCTTTTATAACTTTACACACTGATCAAATCTAACAATCTACACTTGGTTTTGTTGTCTTTACCAACTGGTCAACTTGACAACGAAAAATGACCTCACGCTGAGGAACGATGATTAAGTTATTATATATAAACTGAGATTTTGTAAATTCCGGTATAATAATACTTTGATAAAGCTATTAGCAGCAGCATTAAATAGCGAGACGTCAGTAAGAGCAACAATATCGTTTTGTTTTTCATTCACTGGGAAATACAAAAACCTTCATTATAATGAATATCATATACCCAATGCCCAAATTTTGTCAAACCGTTAAAAGTGAACTTGGTTTGGATATATATATAATATGAAATGCAATTAAAAATAAACTGTTTGTGATTATAATCGTAGTTAAATGTCAAGTGGTGAAGCAAATTTATGTCATATATAGAATAATTCATAGGATAGATAGAACTTGAACTACGATTATAATCACAAACATTTCAGTTTTTAATTGCATTTCATATTATTATTATTGTTATTATTATTATTATATGCATGATTCAATTCCGTCACCGAATATAACTTCTTAAAAACCATATATATACGATTGTACAGCTTGATGATAAATTCGTTGAAAAAAGTCTTCTCGCAGAATCACTTGTTCTGATTTTCTATATGTTACAATGGGCATTTTCCATGAGTTAAGTAAAATAATAAAGTGTACTAATAGATGAAATAATGCTTGTACGTGTAAGTGTCTGTGTGTGTGCATGTGCAGGCGTTACTTTCAACTTCATTGGACAACAAGAATAAATTCCTATAGTTTAAGAAATCTTGCAGTGTGGCTATAGTAAATCAATCAATATTCATGAAAATGTAGGTTTCAGAAAGTTAGCACCAACATCAAAGAGACGAAGGGTAAAAAAAATTGGTTCGTAATTGCACAGATGGAGACAGTAACCAATAAACGAATGAATGAACCACTTGTTCTGTATCGTAAACACATTGACATTTATAAAAGATACGTAGACGACACTTTCGTCATCTGCGGTAATAACGTAATTCTTGATGATGTCTTATTTGCTTTCAACAACTGCCATCCTTCTTTACAATTCACCGTAGAAAAGGAATCCGAACTAAGTATTCCGTTTCTTGATGTGTGCCTTAGCAGACGTAATGACGGATCTCTCAAAAGATCTATCCACCGGAAGCGTACATGGAACAGACAACTAACTAATTTTTACAGTTGAGTGCCTATTTCCAGGAAAAGGAACTCAAATCATTCGCTGTGCTATAGGATAAGGAAAATTTGTAGTTCTGATTGCGTTGACTCAGAACTTGTCTTCTTAGAAGCCACACTTGCAGAAAACGGTTACCCTAACTGATTTATTGACAGCAACATGAAAGATAAGCAGTCTAAACTGGTCACCGACTCAGTTCCAAAGAAAACCTTATTCATGAACTTGGAAATCAAAGGAGATCAAGCTTCAGATATGCTCCAAAATCGTCTTTCTAAATCAGTTAGTAAAACGTTCCCTGCAGCTAGATTGCATATGACGTTCACGAGCCGCAAATTGTTCTCTACCTCTGTAAAAGATAAGCTCCCCCGTCTGACCGCCTCCATGTGCATCTACCAGTACACCTGCTCTCCTCGTGGAGCAAGGTACATTGACCGTAGTCAGAGGACGCTTTCCACACGGATACGAGAACATATTGAAGCAGCTGGGTTTTACAAGGGAGAAAGGAAGTGTGTGCGAAGCTCTATTTTGGAACACCTGATCGACTTTTGTCACTCCACACCAACCCTGACCATGATTTTAAGATCATACATAGAATCCATGCTGACTTGCTGGCCGCGTTTTCTTCGTTACAGACTTCTAAAGACACCTAAGGCCTTGGAGATTCATGACTTTAAGCCAGCCAGACCTTTGTGTACAAAAGAAGTATGTACAATGCCTAATTCTGCCTTGGTCGTACAGGGATAGACATTTATTTATTTTGTTTATTTAGTTATTCTATGTACTTTTCCCTTATTACTTCGATTATTTTTATTATTATTATTATTACTATTCTCACTCTGAATCCTTTCCACTTGACCCACTTGACATTTTAAACCCAAAATTATTTATTTGTATATATTTTATTTTTACAATATTGAATTCTATCTTATCAAATTTCACACCATGTTATGTAACATTTTAAATTCGCCTACTAATCCCATAATTATGTACCCCTTTCCAAAATCTATACACTTTATGTATTATTCTATATATGACATTAATTATTTTGCCACTTGCCATTTCACATTAAACTATGATTATAATCACAAATATTTTAACTGCATTTCATACTACTATTATTATTATATCATGTATTCACACCTTTGACCTAATTCCCTCACCAGATATAATTTCTTCTAAAAAAACCATATATATATACGATTGTACAGCTTGATAATAAATTCCAGTGGTTCTCTAACTGATGTCAGCTCATGATGAATGAAATCCTCCATGCAATCAAACAAAAATCCCTACAAAACCAATACTTGAAAATAAATTCGTTG